AACGAATTGAAAACCTCAATGAAGTCTCCAACATAAGTTTGATGGGCAGTTCCAATTGCAGAAAAGTGCTGAAGTATTTCAATATGGATAGCCCATCTAAGCTGTTTGCAACTATTATGATTCTCATATACCTTTACGCTTCAAGACTCCTTGTTTAATCCATTTTATATCACTGATAGCAGCAGGTATTAGAGCCCGCGTTAGGTCGGATTGGTGGAACATAGCCGTTTTCTTTTGTAGTACAGTATCTAAAATGAGGAAGAAAATCATATTTGGAACAGCATGAGTGTAAAAATACCACTAAATACTAACTAATACCTTGAATACATAATGCATTTTATCTGATGTACTCAAAGAGCGTATATATGCTCATTGCATGTACTACGGTCCAGCAGTGTTTGCATACCATTACTAGACTATATATACACTAAATTTTGATATATCACAGTCTGAAATGCCCTATGACAGTATGAGTATGGACTATATTTTAAAACATCAACTGTCTGTCTACAACTTGATTTCTCACCTCTCAATCGTTTCCAATGCTACTTTCTTTCCACTCCGGCATAACTTATCATTGCTTCCCAGGTTCTTGTCGACTCTATGAATTTAGATTTAGACCAACCGACATTAGTAAAATTGATTATTTTCTTCTCTTTCACACAACCGTGCATTACAGAAACAGCCATTAATTTCTATTTTCAAATATGCTGTGGCTTATATAGTAGTATAAGTCTGCTGAATAGTCAAGAAGAGTCATTAAATTAATCATAAACATTTCACGCAAGCCAGAAAATATCGTTGTTTGTGACATATTATTCTAGGTCTAGCCTCCCTTGGAGTTACCGCATCGTACCTATTTAACAACGTCTTATGAGCTAGTGCTTAACTAAAATTGCTATTTATGGTAAGGATATACAAGTGTTTAATATCTTACTTATACTTTTCAACACCTCCTTAGAATAACTGAACTAATAATAACTGAAAAAAACTATGGAAAGGCTACTCAACGCAAAAGCGAGCAGTAGTAGTACATCTGATATTCATCCGACCACTGGGGATCCACCTACAGCTGACTAATTTGATTGTTACGTCATGCAGAAGTCTGCGTTCATTGGCCCATGATACCGGAAAAGCAGAGAAAATAGGACAGATGGTAACACATATTTATTGTAGTTAAAGCGTCTTTTCTGTAAAACGTGCAACTTTTGGAAGTGGGAACAAGGCAATATTTGTTACTAAATTTCTAAGTAACATTTTAAAATCATTTTCAGGTAGTTACCTTATGTGCGCTACGAAACTGAAAGAAAAATGGCCTCGGCTCGCGGCCTAGTTATTGAAATGTAATAAACAGAATGTATTTATGCAGTGCGACACTTGTATAATCATTGACTCTTGGTTTGATTCAATTTCTTTAGCAGAGTCCTTGTGCTTCTGCCTTCTGGGTTGCATTGTGAGCAGAAATTGCTGCTTTACCTATGGATTCCAGGTTAATGTCACATCCACGAAAACTGCAGCGCGCAAAACACTGGCCATTCGTTTCGTTAATGTTTTTACGTTTACTCATTTTATATTTTATGAAGTTTAATTTTATGAAGTTTGATTTACCGGTATATTCATTCATAAGGACACATGTCAAAATAAGGACAATTGTTAATAATAAGGACAAAAATATTTTCTAAGACAAAGGCCTTCAAAATAAAATAAGGACGTTATGGCAGCCCTGATTATAGGTCAAGTGGAGAAAAAAACTTCTGTATAAAGTACAATACTTGAGATAGAGTGAGACCAAAATGCTATGCTGCTAAGTTTTTTTTTATATAAGATGCAAAGTATTCATTTTCGTCACCACTTTACCTACATCTGACTGACTTTTTTTCAATGCATCGCATTTTTGATTCCTTGCTTTCTTTCGACAAGAAAATTGTCACATCATTCTGGTAATTTGCAAGACAGACTGTGTCTTAGTTTTCACAATTATTTGTTCATTTTTATCAAATACTCCACGTCCTTCATCAAATATTTCGATCAGACATCAACGAACAGTGGAGTTTGCGAGCTTTGATGTAGGAGCGTAGTCGTCGTTAAGCACCTTGTCTTAACTTACCGACCGTGACGCCCGCCACTTGGAGGCGCAACATCGCCTTTGTTTGTTTATTATACGGCGAGCGGAGTTGGACATCTAGTAGTAGTATATATTTACGTTAAATCATGAAATATGTCAAATTAAACAAAACAAATTATGACCTACATCTGTCTGTCGGTACAGCTGTATATTCTGACATTGTTGCTGCTGTTGATTGATCAATTTGGAATATCCCAAATGAACTGTAGTCAGGTAGTGCATAGTGGACTATTCCACACTACTAAGTCAAATTAGGCATGACATTTAATACTCACCACCCTATCACAAATCCAAAATGACTACCGGTACCCACCTACAAGAACAACTTACAGACTTCTAACTCTGTAACTACAAGACCAGAAGTCAGCAAGTGAAAAAGGTGAAAAAGGATTCTCAAAACAATCATTGAATTAAAAATCACATATTTGAATTCCAAAATGAATTTAAAAGCGACAAGTGGTAAATTCCTAACTCAACGGACTTTTTAGTTGTTCATGGTAATAAAATCCTTCACAAATCATACCAAAACACAAAACCGAAGCTTGTTCCTTTTCTTCAAGAGATAGCAAAACCATGTAGAATCCTTCGCCACTCAAGCGTAGCAAAGCCTTCTTGCAATGCCCAAATAAACGAGAGAGCTACGCCCAAATATATGGACACGTCTGTTCGCAGTAGAGTACGGTTTACTGTACCGTCAGATCACAGTCTACAAATATATTCACACCAAGCGAAGCAGTACAGTCGGACACAAAATGGCGTCCGATGGCCGCAGAAGTCCAGTGACGTCATAGCAAACAAAAACAACCGATGTTCAAGTCTTGAAATCCGTGGTCGCACACTGGTCGGTCGTGTCGCAAATACGTCTTCTGAGTGTCGTACTTTGGTGGTTTGTATAGCTTTCACCCCTGGCCGTAGAAAGGTAATTCGAGGTTTAGCGTGTAGAATAAATGCCAATGCACCTACGGTGAAAAAATTAACGGGTTAGAACAGATATTGGTTTTTGTTTTATAGCGGTTTGAATGAAATTGTCCGCAGACTGGCTACACCACCCTAGTTTATTTGGTAAATGAATTTCATTTCATTACCAGACTACCGGTACCAGGCATTCTGACATCTGATTGATTTGCACATACTGACATAACACAGTATCAGAGTTTGCAAAGTTATAACTGTATGATTTAAATATTTATCCAGTTCAAAATTTTGTCAGGCAAGGATACCGATATGCCGATTTTATTTTTTGTCCGAAGTAGGCAAATGTGAATGAAATTAATTTCACTACCGCTACCAGGCATTCCGACATTTCATATATTCCAGTGTTCGGAAACCTTTGTGAAGTTTGTAATGCTTCTTTCTTTGCAAATTCTGGATTTGTGGTGTTTCCAAAAAAAAACGTAACAAAACAGCATTCTTCCAATTTCTGGCTGTTGTTTTCAATGGCAAGATATCCCACCCCCAATCTGACACGCAGCGACCGTATTTCGTCAGCCCTAACTTGACTCGACGGCCCTATTTCGTCACCCCCAATTTGACACGCAACGACCGCATTTCGTCAGCCCTATTTTGACACCCCCAATATGACTTTTGTGCTACCACCCCTGTAGTAATTTATAGTTAAAATCAGTATTTTTAATAAGTAAACCAATAGCTCGCAGAGCCATGTGATTCATATGGAGCAGAGCTATGATTGAGAGAGGCCGTGGTTCGCCATATATTTAGGCCTTCTTTTCGGCTTTCTTCTCCCCTTGGATAAATATGTAAATCCCATGTTATATCAATTACATAAATACATAAATAACCGCACTCCTCTCGGCGACTGGTTCATATTCTGTTCTGTAGATACGTTTTCTGTCTAATAGATATGCATTCCCAATAAGCATATGCTCATAGTTGTATGCTTTCAGCGTACCATACTTCGAAACCCAAAACCAAATATGTATTGAAGAATTAAAGACCTCAATACGGCCAATTTCGCACCCGACTCGGCTGAAGCAAGGGATTTTGGCAGCGAGCAATGCGTTTTCTTAATATGCAACGAACCATTTAGCTGGACGACGTAAAAAATGCAGGGTACAATGCCATAATGAGCAAATCTTTGCAAGTTTCCACTCATTGTATATATGCTCATTGGACAGCGTAAGGAAAAATCGTAGCAAAGTACCGTATGGACTTTGTTACGAACCATCGACGTTCGATGGCACGGGATCAAAAAGAAGAGGAGTGTCGGCTATGCGTCCGCAGAGCGTTCGGTGACGTCATAGCAAACAAAAACAAATCTCACAGAGCTAACAGAAATATTTGAAATAAATAAAAGTAATAGCCTTCTGGAGAAAAATTTCATCTTTAACCAGTAAAAATCGGTCGAAGCAATCGGTCCAGTAATGAAAGAGAAAGGCGTTTTTTTAGATTTTCCACTAGATGTCCAAAAAGTGTCAAAGAACAGCAACAACAAGACCAACATAATATTGAAACGATCGTTATGTCCACTTTGTGTCCAACAACAAAACGATCGTTATGTCCACTAAACGTGTCCAAAAACGTGTTGTGACGGCACAGAGTAAGACGGATAGACTGAAAGTTTATATCGTCAGCCGAAATTGAAAAACATATACAAAATATTTCGATTTTCTCAAAATCCGGATGGGTTTTAGGCAATGCACTTACAGTTCTTTTAAGCAATACAGGTTTTTTAGGCTAATCGTCGGCAATTTTATTGAAAATTTTGTTGAAAAAAATTGAAATTTGAAAACTGAACAGAAATGTTTTTACAATTACATCAGTAGCCGACATAGAGCATCGGTCTGGTCTTGCAGTCTTGATACCTGAGATTATTGTATATCTGACAATTCAGTCAAATGAGTTATGACAATAAAATATTTTTTTTCCTTTTTAAAATGGAGTAGCATAAATTTACTTGTATTTGCATTTCCACATTGGAAAGTAACCTTTTACTGTGTCTCCCCATGACTATTTGCAAGTTCCTGATTGGAGAGAAAAACAGTTCCTTATAGATCTTAAACTAGCAAAGAAGTTAAAATTCGATTTGCATCCAGCAGAAAGCTAACCTAAGATGGATTGTCTTGGAAAAGTACTTAACAATGTGAAACGGCGCCTAATCCAAATATCAATGTCAAAAACTCAGCACCTAAGACAAGTTTGTCAAGTAAGTGATTGCTTTCGAAGTGCAGCGTATATGACAAATCTCAAGCATGTATCATTGCTATGTGGTCAGCGACACAATGCTTCAACAAGCAGAAATGCTAGATCTGCCAAACTTCTATTTTTAAATATGTGCCACAGAAACTTTGGATGTTATTCCGTTTCTTTACAAAGGCATCAAGAGAATAATCAGAATCCAGAAACAGTTGGTGATGCAAAAGACAAATGGGAAAGCCTCCTTGACAATGATGAGAAGCGAGAAAATATTGCTTCAATTCCAACTAGAAAGGAAAATATATTTACAGTTCCAAATCTTCTCTCTTTTTCCCGGATAGTTGCAACGCCATATATAGCTTATCTGGTATTGGAAGGAAATTATATATGGGCGACTGCAGGTCTTATAATAGCTGGAATAACCGACATATTGGATGGACAAATTGCACGCCGGTGGCCATCCCAAAAATCAGCATTTGGTACTGCTTTGGACCCTCTTGGGGACAAAATTTTAATAACTGTACTTACAGTAACATTAGCCAAAGCTAACCTACTACCATTGCCTTTGGCGGTTCTTATTGTGGGTCGTGATGTTTTATTAATACTCGCCGTTTTTTATTTACGATATCGGACTTGTCCACCCCCATTAACATTGAAAAGATATTTTGATCCCACACTTGTGAATACCAAATTGAATCCAACAACTATCAGCAAGGTCAATACGGTTTTGCAAGTTGCGATTATTTGTATGGCAATCAGTGCCCCAATATTTGAATTGTCTCAACATCCTGCGCTATATGGAATTTTTGCATTAACCGGTCTCACAACGATATGGTCAGGCCTGGATTACATATTCAATAAAAACACTGTACAAATTTTAAAAGAACCGAAGTTAAAAGATGGACAGTTCTAGCATTTGAAATTCTGATTATATAGTTTTTGTCAGTTATGTGTTTACAATCATCCTTTTCTGAGCATCCCAAAATCTCTATTATATGTAACTGAACAATGTAGTAGTACTACCATTGGTTCAGATTCGGGATGCCTAAAACAAATTGTTCATTTAGATCAGAGTTTTCCAAACTTTTGGGGCCGCGGACCTCTGTTTGAGAATATTAGTTTTGTCGGACCCCATCATATGTCATATCAATTTCTGTGCCTAACCAACGAGTAAAGTTAATGTTTCATATACAACACAAACGACATTAATTTGATGGATGAGGTTGCTTTTCACTGCACAGTTCTATTTTCGGAGCAATTTGTGACAGTGACAGTGACAGCCTCACGCATGTAGGCAATAAATGTTTTGCCTTTTCTGACAGCAATGGATATTTGCCCGCAACGCTCAATCAAAAATATGCAATTGCTCTTTGATTAAAATCAATCATTTAATATCGATCAGACATTTTTTATATCGTTGCGGACCCCAGTTTGGGAAACCCTGATTTAGATAGTTTAAAATTGTCACTGAACATTCAGCATCCCGAAGACCAATATATTTGAATTCATAAAAGCTGTAGATAATCAATGAAACAACCTTATCCTCTGTAACACTAGATATCTATGGATAACAAATGATTTGTGAAATAATCCATATTCAAAATATTTATTTGAAATAGTAAATTATTAGGTATTGTACATCTATTCAATGTGCCCCTGAATGTTGTTTCAAGATAAACTAATTGTCATGAGCCATGGCTTCAGCTGCTGTTGATTTGTAATGTATTTTTTTCCAATTGATTTCCAAATATCAATCCATCCATGCTAAAATGTTGATGATACTGTAACTGGGCTGGGAACAAGAACAGGCTAACAGTTACCACAGTGAATGACATTTGATTTATAGCGAAAGAATGATGGCTAAATTTGAACTCTCCGCTCAGTCGCCAAATATTATATATATATATATAAAATATCATATATATACAACCAGATGTGTGAAACACCAGGGGCTCTTACACTATGAATGGATCAATCTGCCCTAGAAACTGTGACAACTCAAAATTTATCACTTATTCCCTATGCAGGGTTAGAAAAATTTAGTAAATAATTTACAATCCAATGAAGATATAAAGAAAGACCTTGTTGAAATGTTTGTGTATGTTGCATTGCATGGATGAACTCGCACTAAACCAACCTCACATAGTCTTGAGCATACATTAAGATTTGGGTTTCGCTAGACTTGAAAAATGGAATGTAGTCAAAGCATAGAACATTTCCATCCAAAGTAAATCTCGGCACTGGCTATCTAGAGGAAAAATGATCACAATCCTCACAGCTGTATATTCAAATGACAGAAACTATATCCTTTTTTCAATTACATCGTTCCGATCTGATCAACTAAAACGAAACTGGTAGTGAAACAGTAGACAATGATTGGATATTAACTACCGTAATTAAAAATGCAAGTTAGGACATTTAGCTTTCTAAGCCGAGCTTTAGAGAACACCCTCAGAGAACACAGAAGTAAGCCTGATTTATTGGTTTTGAATTTATGCACAAAATTTTCAGCTAGAACTGTAAAGTAACAACCAGTTGAATAAAGAAGTTCTGAAATAGTTGTTCAAATGTTAAAAGGTTTTTCCTTTTGTAACATAGATCATATTGACTGGCATAAACAAAAAATTTAAATTAGAATGTTTAACTTAATTTTAGAAAATTCTTAATAATAAAAACTATTATTATACGTGCCATGCTTTGAATAAACCTGTCATGTATAGGCACAAAATAAACTTTGTATATAGAGTAATAAAATCAAAATAAACGCTATGTTGGCCTGCACGGCATTACATTGTTATCGGAAGAATTTCCACTTTCATCATCGCTTGAAACAAATCTCATACCCATTGATAATAACATAGACTCGAGTGGATCAGTGTTCATACGTCTTTGATTATCAGCCGCAACTGAATTCATATCTTCGATGACATTTTCTTGCTTATTTTCATACAATTTTGGTGACCATAATTTTATCTCGGGGTCGATTCCGCTAGTAGCCAACAAGCATGAACTTGGATGTGGCTGTACACAGTTAACAATAGATGAATCTGCTGTCATAATACGGACCAAGTTCGTACTATCATGTTCCCACATATAAAATGAACCTTCATCAGATCCAGCTATTATATATTGTCCATTATCACCAAAAAAGTTTGCTTCTTTTATATCTGTGGTTGTGTTACAATGTCCGCAATATCTATACTTGTAATCGAAGCAAGAAGATCTTTGCTCAATTTCTTCCTCAGATGAACTGTCGTTCTTCTTAATTTTTTTTCCATTTTCTTTTCGTTTTAAAGCAACACTTATATCTTTTTCCAGTGCAACACAAGCATTACTACTCGAGTGCTCTGGATGATGCTGCTTGAACTCCTTGATGCATGATGAAGCCTCTTCAAACCACTCTAGCTCAAACATGCATCGAGCAAGACGATAGTGCGCTTTCACATCGGATGGGTTGACATGTAATGCTGAATAACAGTCTCTTAAAGCTGCATAAAAATCACCATCCCATTCTCGCTTGATTAAAGCAGCAGCTCTATTACTATACACTACCGATTTGGGAGACATTAATAAAGCTTTGTTATACATTGCAACAGCTGCAGAGAATTGCTTTTCCCCAAAATAGTCATTTCCCTTCAATCTGCAATTGTCAGAGAATACATTTGTTTTCGTATCTGCTGTGTATGAATCTGATTTATCATCAGAAGCCATAGAATTTTTTGAACTTAGATCATTGCTTGTGGACGCTTCGGAAGACGAACTTTTGTGCCTTTTTGGGGCATGTCCTGCGTCTTTCAGTCCGTTAGATGATTGTTTTCTTATACCATTTGTTGCTTGTTGAATCTTCGATTCCAATAGTAAAGGTTTGACTTTGTCATAAATATCAAATATGTATATTTGTTCTCCCCCAAAGTTGACAAGAACTTCATCCCCTCGTGGGTTGAATGTTAAATACGTAATACAAAGATTTCGAAGTTTTTTCCTGTACTCATTTTGCTTCGAACGCAAGTGGCCCGGGGTAAAATATGTACCACGTTTATGCATATCAAACATTCGACGATCATATAATCGTAAATATGAGTCATTGGCACCAACTGCAATACAGTTTGGATTAGAAGGGCTGATATCAACGCATTTACATTCAATATTACTTCCACAACACTTAGTCAAATCCACCAGAACTCTTGCACTTGATGAGGAAGGTTCGCGAATGTCATATTCACGTATTATACCATCTTCTGATGCGCTTATAAGAACATTAGGCTCAGCTCTTGTTGTAACAATTCTTTTTATTCTGCCTTGCACATCATAAGCAGATATTGTCTCTTTACCAATTAAATCATGTAAAAATATATGTCCGTCTGCAGCACCTGTTGCTATAACATGGTCATTACTGCATGGAATGAATTTTACTGTAAATATATTTCCATGATGTTGCGTATTTAACATTTGAATATTTTTGTGTTGGTAAGCATCCCAAAGAATAACTTTTGTGTCATCTGAGCCACTCGCAAGCAATGTCCCTTCATCATTCCAGTCAAGACAATTGACACATCCAGAATGACCTTCTAAAATGCATTCCAACTGCAAGTTATGAACAAAGTGTTGATTAACATGATTCCTCCTTTGAAACCCCCTCGCATATGCAGACGAGTGTTCACGGCGCATGCACTGTTGAAATGTCCCCTGTTCCATTTATGCTGCTTAACAATGTAATTTTTCACTGAATGAACAGGTAATAAAAATGACAATGTTATATAAAATTTGTTCATACATCACGGTCCCACAAAATAGATTTTTAATCGCTACACCATTATTAATAGATGAGAGTTGTATTAGCCCAGGGGTGTACGTTGCTGTAATATGGTCATTACTGCATAGAATGAATATTACTGTACATATATTTCCGGAATGTTGTGAAACACGCATTATAGTTTTGTACAGAAAGCACAGATGCCACTGAAGTTGAAGCTTTTTTATGAACTATGCTTCATTCAGTAAAAAAAGAATTCGTTTTTTAATTTCATTGACTTGTGCCTGAAATTTCAAACAAATTCATTTAATTAAAGCTTGGGGCGAGTCACGAAGACAAAAATGGCGCCCTGCATTATCCGTCTTAGAAGTTTGACAAGTATAAGGTTAAGAGTTAAAGACACATATGCATCACAAGCGCTGCAGTCAGTATTCTTTTCCACTTCCAAGAGACGCAAAGCAGTGTTTACAACTTTCATATTGTTTATGTAAGGTAAGGTGATCCATTTTCAATAGGCAATTGAAAGACAACTACTACAGTACTAGCTTAATTTGGCCTTACTTCTGTACTTTACCAATACTTATTTGTCACATAACAGAATAAAAGGCTGCGGTGCCGGATTTTGTCATGTTTCCACTGTGGCCGTATTTAAATATTCCTCGGGAGTCTAAATTACTGACTTTAAATCATGGAGATCTGGGAACTCAAAATCCTTTACAAGAATTCCCCCTTACTGCCTTACTTCGATACGGTACCATACTTACTGACTTAGCTATTCATGGCATTGCTGTGGAGTCATGTTTCCAATGTAGCCAAATCTGTACTTCCCACTGTAGCCAAATAATACTTCCCAGAGTCTGAATTACTGTCTTCAAATGGAGCACAAGATTCCAGCTTATCAGTAAGCTGCATCGATTAATCTTGCTATTCTTGATTAAATCACACTTATACAATTATATGAGAACTGGAAATGACGCTATATTATTTCCCGATTCTCCGTATATTTGTTTGTTTTGCCCTGCAATGCTTCTTTGCTCCGGTTTAACGGAAAATCGAAATCAACTCACTGTTGTAACATGTCACGGGTCAGTTAATTTAATACTACTTGTTCCAATTATGACACCCCACACATTGGGACATCTTGAGCCATGTGTGTCATTCATTTCTAATCATCCTTTCAGGAACATGGATGGACCATTGTTACGTTGTAAACGTACGTTTGTCGTATATTTTGTCACTGTATGCAGTGCATCGTACTCTGCCTTGCACCCAATCATTGTAGACCCATTATTACCCTTTGTTTGTAGCGTAAATTAGTATTATTATCTATTGTCTGGTTTAGCGTTTTCCTTTCGGTCATTTGCATCACGTATTCGTCGTGTAAAGAGTCGCAGATATTTGTCTGTATTGTGGACTGTTTATTTATCTGTTATATATCTTTATTGTATTAGCCTCCCGGATCGGAAAACGTTTGGTGAGAAATTTGCCTTTTGTTGTTGTTATATGCTTTGACTTGTGTTAATCAATTTTGTTTTATTTATTTAAGAAAACCGCTGTTCTTTGCCAAGAATATAAAGAAGTGATTTATGCATGTGTCTTGTTTGTGGACAAAGGGGCTGAGAGTGGCGCGTTCGATACGTTTTCATTGTGTCTCGTCGATATAGATTCCGGGCTATCAAAAAGACGTGACATAAAAGTTTTCAAACGGGCTTCAAAATTCAAACGATTTCAAGTCTCCAAACATAATTTGTGAAGTTTTCAATGATATTAACGTTAATACCAAAATTCTCAAGTTTTCAACCAAAGGGTTTCAAACATTAATTCGGGTTCTCAATAATGGCAACCGGTGGTAGGTCGGATGAACATCAGGCAATGCTCCTGGCAGTTTTAATGAATTTAAAACTCATCTAGATGTTTGCAGGAGTTCCAGTGACGTTAGCGACGTGAGTTCTTCAGCGTCATCGACTTTCTCCGTCCGGAATGCAAGAGTGAAGTTGGAGCTGGCACGCCTAAAGGCCCGTCAAGAAGAAGAACTCTCAGCTTTAGAATACGACTTGCGTAAGCTTCAGACAAGACACGCTTTACAGGCTGCTGAAACAGAATCAAAGGTTTGGGAAATGAGCGATGACGAATTTTTGCGGTGGGTAACAGTAGATAGAATTAGGCACGACAATAGCGTGAAATCCCGTGATTTCCCACCTAAATCACAGCTCATTGATAACGGTCGTGAAAATACTCAACGGCGTTTGCCGACTTTGCCTACACACACAGCTGATAGTAGCTCAGCTAATCCTGTGCCTCCACGTTTGAACCATGCTTTACATCGCAGAACTGTCGATCTACCCAAACCAGAAATTGCAAAATTTTCAGGTGATCCAATGGAATATTATTCCTTTATCCGCAACTTTAAGGCCCATGTTACAGATCTTGTAGATCAGGGGTCGGGAACCCATGGCTCGCGAGCCATATATGGCTCTTTTGGTGACGGCATATGGCTCCCAGAAAAATCTATTATTCTAAGACTAAGCTTACTATTGTTACGAGATTTCAAACTCTTTTATAGCCAAATTTGGCAGAAAATTCCCAATACGTTTGAGAACGCGCGCCCAGCGCATGTCTATGTTATGTAAGAGAATTACCAGACGGGCATCGTGACAAAACAAGGGAATTCTGGAACAAATTTTGTGACATCACAAAGCCATAGAGTTTTAAAAATACTACGGGAATACCGAACTAAAAAGAGTGACGAGTATCGTAGATTTCAACTTGGGCTGCATGTGAGCAACCGTTCAAGGCCCGCAGCGACAACATGCAGCATCAGATATCACATTAAATGTATATTGACTTTTGAGTAAACATTTCAGGCTTGATTAAGAGAAGAAATGTTATATGGCTCGCACGGAAATGCAATTGAAAATATGTATATTTTATGGCTCTCTTGACCAAAAAGGTTCCCGACCCCTGTTGTAGATGATGATAACGTACGTCTGAGTTATTTGTTACAGCTGTGCCAGGGCGAAGCGAAAAATGCCATTGATCATTGCTCAATGATGGAACCGAGTCGCGGATATCGCGAAGCTATGAGAGAGCTGAAGAATGAATATGGTAAAGATTGTGTCATTTCCCGCACCTGTTTGGACAGGTTGAAGCGTGGTCCGAAGTTGAACTTTGACGACGCGAAAGGTATGCAAGCGTATGCGCGACTGATGCGGAAATGTGGCTTAGTTCTTGGAGAAATCAGTGAGTACGACAATCTTAATAATTTTGACAATTTGCTGGCCATTGTTAAACGATTGCCACCAGAGTCGCAAAACGCTTGGGATTTCAAAGTGGCAACAATTTTAGAAACGGAGGATCGTGAAGCTAGTTACAACGACCTCTCTAAATTTGTCACCGAGCAAGCTAATGTTTCAAGATCAGACTTTCGTTTTGCCCGAAGAGATAGAAGGCAATCAAATTATTATGAAAATTCTAAGGCGAAAGGTAGTGCTTTTGCTATTTCTGCTAGTGGTTCAAATTGGCACTGCCCGTGTTGTAATTTCTCTCACGAATTATTCAACTGTAAGAAATTTAAAGTCCTTTCATGGTACGAACGATATAACGTGGCTAGACGGAATCAGTTGTGCTTCAAATGCTTAAGACGAGGGCATATGTTTAGACAGTGCACCCAGAATGAAAGTTGCCCCATTCACGATTGTAAGTATCCGTTCCATCATGTTTTGTTGCATCGCGATTTCGAGACACCTACACGGCGAGATGGTATTAGTAAACAGACTTGTTCCGTCGGTACCTCGATGAACCATGCGGATCACGACGTTCACGCTAATAAATTGGCGCCCGCAAAGCAACAAGGGAACACCGGTGTTTACATGAATATCGTCCCGGTGACAGTAACTGCTGGCAACAGGGCTTTTGATACATACGCTCTTTTGGACTGCGCTTCTACAACCACCATGTGTAGTGTGAAATTGATGAACAAATTAAATCTAACCGGGGTGCCTATAGATGTTACATTGCAAACTGTTGGTAATCGTCCCAAATGTGTTAAAGCAAAGAAGTTGTCCCCTCTACTCGTTAAAGAAATTAACGGACATGACGAATGCATTGAATTGCCCAATGTATTGTGCGTCAGTAACATGCCCATAAAGCCCAATAAGCTACCCTCGCGCAGTTCCTTGCGTAAGCTATCCTATTTGTCTGATATCGACTTTCCTCGAATACACGACGGTGAAGTGACTTTGCTGATAGGAGCGGATGTTCCCGAAGTGTTTGTGTGGGAGGAATTTAGAAAGGGTCGGAGTCAACAGCCGATTGCGGTGAAAACCCCTCTTTATGGGTCCGTCTATGAAAACACTTCCATTAATTTCGTTGATACAAATCCTTTGGCGTCGCAGATTGAGCGACTTTGGCGTACGGATTTTGCTGACGTCCCCAGTATTTGTGACACTAAAACTTCCCGCGAAGATAGAATAGCGCGTAGTTGCATGGAAGACAAACTCAAATTTGTTGATGGACATTACGAACTACCTTTATTGTGGAAAATCAATCATCGCGAGTTACCATGTAATCAGAAAGTGGCGGAGAATCGCCTTCGTCAGTTAAAGCGACGTCTTTTAAAAGATGACACATTGCACCAAAAATATATTCAGACATTGAATGATTATGTTGATAAAGGATACGCTCGTATAGCTGACAGTCCTAGGTCGCCGAACATCTATCCAACAAAATGGTTATTGCCACATCATCCTGTGATAAACCCAAAGAGCCAGACGACTTCATTGACGCATTGAGACGCTTTACTGGACGCAGAGGTCGTCCTGTTCACATATATTGCGACAATGGAAGCAATTTTGTAGGTGCTTGTCGCGAATTGAAAGAATCAATTAGCAAATGGAACGAGCAAACTATCTGCGTCAACGTGATGTAGAATTTAACTTTAATCCTCCATACGCCAGTCATATGGGTGGCGTTTTTGAAAGAATGATTAAATCAACTAAACGAATTCTATCTGTATTGTTGGCAGGTCAATCGATTACTCATGAGAAGTTGGAGCCACTGCTAGTTGATGAATTCTGGCGTCGATGGATTAAAGAGTACCTGCCAACAATAACACAAAGGTCAAAATGGACGAGAGGACGTGATAACTTCAAAGTCGACGATATGGTTCTGCTAGTTGATGAATCGATTCCTCGCGGTCGATGGACTGTTGGGAGGGTTATAAGTACCTTCCCAGACAAACATGGACTCGTCCGCTCAGTGTTGGTGAGAACCGGCACAAATGTTGTCAGACGACCCATTACTAAACTATGTCGATTTCTAGAAGACCAAAAATAGTGGATCGAATTATTGTTTCATTTACAACGTTTAATTTTTTAGAAAATATTCTCTAGGTCATATATTCGGGTGGGGGTATGTTACGTTGTAAACGTACGTTTGTCGTATATTTTGCCACTGTATGCAGTGCATCGTGCTCTGCCTTGCACCCAATCATTGTAGACCCATTATTACCCTTTGTTTGTAGCGTAAATTAGTATTATTATCTATTGTCTGGTTTAGCGTTTTCCTTTCGGTCATTTGCATCACGTATTCGTCGTGTGAAGAGTCGCAAATATTTGTCTGTATTGTGGACTGTTTATTTATCTGTTATATATTTTTATTGTATTAGCCTCCCGGATCGGAAAACGTTTGGTGAGAAATTTGCCTTTTGTTGTTGTTATATGCTTTGACTTGTGTTAATCAATTTTGTTTTATTTATTTAAGAAAACCGCTGTTCTTTGCCAAGAATATAAAGAAGTGATTTATGCATGTGTCTTGTTTGTGGACAAAGGGGCTGAGAGTGGCGCGTTCGATACGTTTTCATTGTGTCTCGTCGATATAGATTCCGGGCTATCAAAAAGACGTGACACCATCGATGGATGGACGTATCAAGCACTTTTTTTTATTTTTTCTTATTATCAAGCACAGATGAGCAAGGTTCAGCCTTGATGCCTGACAGATGGAATATCGTGACGCGGAAGCCAAGTTTAGATTCAGCAGTTTATGACTGCTGCGCTATATTAGGACAATATACAAATAAGATTCCAGTATAATACACAGGGCAGAAGATACGGCACAACGACGATATGTACAATACCGACAATACTCAGTTTATGGCAAGTCCATATCCCAGATTCCGGTGTGAAAGGGTGAAGATTTGGTATGAGTCGCTAACTCTTTGGAAAACCGGACACACATTAATATCCAATTTCAAAACTGCAACTGGATGGAGCCAAAAAGAGTTGGTTTACTTTTGGACGAAAATAAAATTATAAATAGTGGATCTGCCTGGACTAGTGGATCTAACCGGTGATCAGGACCATGAAGACATTATGCCGCGAGCCGAGGACCTGAAAAACGCCTAGAAAGTGAGTTTCGTAGCGCACATCAGGTAACTACCTGAAAATGATTTTAAAATGTTCCTTGAAAATTTAGTAACAAATACTGCCTTGTTTCCACTTCCAAAAGTTGCACGTTTTAAGGAAAAGACGCTTTTACTACAAGAAATATGTGCTACGATCTGTCCTATATTCTCTACAGAAAACAATGACTTCTGCATGACGTAACAATTGAATCGAATCAGCTGTTAGCGAGCGGATGAATATTAGTTATTACTGGTTACTGCTCGACCTTGCGTTGAGTTGGGCAGCCTTTCCATAGCCCTGTTTAGTTATTGGACACGTAGTGGACATAACGATCGTTTCAATATTATGTTGTTGTTGTTCTTGTTGTTGTTCTTGTTCTTTGACACGTTTTTAAAAAGTCGCTTTTCTCTTCGAATACTGGACCAATTGCTTTGAAATTTTCAGTGGTTGAAGATTAATTTTTTCGCTAGAAGGCTATTACTTTTGTTTATTCTTAAATTTTATATGAATCCTATGAGATATGATATTTCATACAAAATTTCGCGGTATTTATTTTTACTCATGGGAACACTGTTTTACACTTATTTCAAGCGGTTTCGCGATCGATTGTCTTGCTCAGTACTACAGCTACTGTAGGTCGGTACTGGTAAGTTGCCATACAGGTACCGTAACGCAGTGAAATTGACTTATTCCTTCCGCGGTATTACTAATGCTGCAATGCAAGTTTTATAGCCTATCGTATGCGGAACGGAATATCAGACCTACAGGTTCGGTACTGGTACTGGTAGCTCAGTACGTAAGTACGATACTGGTGCCGGTACCGGTGTCTTACCACAATGAAATTACCGTAACTTATTCTTTCACGGTCCTACCAGTGCAGTACCGGTAATGCAAGCGTTGTAGCACTTGTAGCCTACTATATTTGTTTATTTTGATGAGAGTCTACTGGAAACAACATAAAATTTGAAAGGGAAGAATTGTTCTGTGATCAATTATCTGCCCTAAAGTGTAAACAACATAAAATTTGCAAGGGAACAACTGTTCTGTGATCAATTACCGTATATGGCCTACAGTGTACAGGTAAGATGCTGGCTGACTGCTAACCGGTACTGGTAGCTCAGTACGTAAGTACGATACTGGTACTGGTGCCGGTACCGGTGTCTTACCACAATGAAATTACCGTAACTTATTCTTTCACGGTCCTACCAGTGCAGTAATGCAAGCGTTGTAGCACTTGTAGCCTACTATATTTGTTTATTTTGATGAGAGTCTACTGGAAACAACATAAAATTTGAAAGGGAAGAATTGTTCTGGGATCAATTATCTGTCCTAAAGTGTAAACAACATAAAATTTGCAAGGGAACAACTGTTCTGTGATCAATTACCGTATATGGCCTACAGTGTACAGGTAAGATGCTGCCTGACTGCTAACTCAGTACCGCTTGACACGTTTTTGAAAAGTCGCTTTTCTCTTCGAATACTGGACCAATTGCTTTGAAATTTTTAGTAGTTAAAGATAAAAATTTTCTCCAGAAGGCTATTACTTTTTTTTTCGCTATGACGTCAATAAAATTATGTGACTCTACGTGTCCATATATTTGAGCATAGCTCTCTTGTTATTAGTTAAGTTATGCTAAGACGTTGTTGAAAAATGTATAAGTAAGTTATTAAACACTTGTAGATCCTTACCACGGATATGGGCCGCGAGATGAAGCCTTGAAAACGCCCAGAAAATGAGTTTCGTAGCGCACATCTGGTAACTAAATAAATTCTTCAGTTTTTTGTGTGAAAATGAACATACTGAACGCATTACAGCTTGTTCCACAGTACTGATGCGAAATTGAATATAAGAGGTTCTCGGAAATTCAATAACCATAAGTTTACAACACATACATAAGAACTATGCAATTCGAGAGCCCTACAGCACACTAACACAAATGTATTCCTGTAATGTTTTGCCTGACCAAAATCGGACTTCCTCAGTCAATCATAATTTATTTGGTAGATTACGAAAAATATGGCATACATGTAACCAACAACAAAAAATACTTCAATTGTGTGACAGGAGTCGCGAGTGACCTCGAAAGCAGCGACACCAACATCGCTGATTCACATTAGCGAATAAATTTTATGTAATACCACAAGCAGTTTACAACAAGAACAGAATAAAAAGCTACATCCATTTTATAGAAGCTATCAAACGTATTTATTTTTAAGCAATGAAGTCACAAATTAACATCGTGAGCACGACAACACAAATAAATCAGTTATTTCTCACTTAGAAATTTACCGGAAAAGTCAAGAAAATTAAATGAATGTACAATATGTACATAACATAGTGAACAGAAATATTACAATTAGTCTTTTTTTAGTTTATGTGGTTATGTATTTGAACAAAGGCAATATTATTTCTAGAAACAGCAATATTATTTCTACGACACTAACAAATGTCCAAAAAAAAAATGATACTTATTGAATCAACTGCAATATCTAATTCACTTTCTTCTGAATTGTTTTCGAAATCCACTATCTCGAAAATCGACTTTTCCTCTATAAGTCTACTGTGATTTTTGCAGTCGATACAAAAACAAAAATCTGTGCAATTTAAGTTGATTTTGGAACACTTGCATAAATTATTCTGACTATTTTTCTTAGACTCGCAGTTTGCCAACTCAAGAACTGATTTGAGGGCCACATGCTTCTTCAGTGAATCATTGTTGGGTGAAAGAGTATAATCCTTATGTTTGCCAGTGTTAAATAGACGTGCCCTGGTATCATTTACATTCTTCATATCCTCTTCATACAGTGAACAAACTAATTCCTCAGCTTTATTTATTAATGCCTTGTTAACCTAAAAAGATCTCAATAGTTGAGAAAAAATGAATTGAAAACCTCAATGAAGTCTCCAACATGAGTTTGATGGGCAGTTCCAATTGCAGAAAAGTGCTAAAGTATTTTAAGATGAATAGCCCATCTAAGCTGTTTGCAACTATTATGATTCTCATATACCTTTACGCTTCAAGACTTCTTGTTTAATCCATTTTATAGCACTGATAGCAGCAGGGATTAGAGCCTGCGTTAGGTCGGATTGGTGGAACATTGCCGTTTCCTTTTGTAGTACAGTATCTAAAATGAGGAAGAAAATCATATTTGAAACAGCATGAGTGTAAACATACCCCTAAATACTAACTAATACCTTGAATACATAATGCATTTTATCTGATGTACTCAATGAGCGTATGAATCATTGCATGTACTACAGTCCAGCAGTGTTTGCATACCAGTACTAGACTATATCTACAATAATTTTTGATATATCACAGTCTGAAATGCCCTATAACAGTATGAGTATGGACTATAGACTATATTTTAAAACATCAACTGTCTGTCTACAACTTGATTTCTCACCTTTCAATCGTTTCCAATGCTACCTTATTTCCACTCCGGCATAATTTATCATTGCTTCCCAGGTTCTTGTCGACTCTATGAATTTAGATTTAGATCAACCGACTTTAGTAAAATTGATTATTTTCTTCTCTTTCACACAACCGTGCATTACAGAAACAGCCATTAATTTCTATTTCCAAATATACTGTGGCCTATATAGTAGTATATATAAGTCTGCTGAATAGTCAAGAAGAGTCAAACATTTCATGCAAGCCAGAAAATATCGTTGTTTGTGACCTATTATTCTGGGTCTAGCCTTTCTTCGAGTTACCGCACCGAAACTATTTAACGACGTCTTATGAGCTAGTGTTCAACTAAAATTGCTATTTATGGTAAGGATATACAAGTGTTTAATATCTTACTTATACTTTTCAACACCTCCTTAGAATAACTGAACTAATAATAACTGAAAAAAACTATAGAAAGGCTACTCAACGCAAAAGCGAGCAGTAGTACATCTGATATTCATCCGACCACTGGGGATCCACCTACAGCTGACTAATTTGATTGTTACGTCATGCAGAAGTCTGCGTTCATTGGCCCATGATATCGGAAAAGCAGAGAAAATAGGACAGATGGTAACACATATTTATTGTACTGAAAGCGTTTTTTCTGTAAAACGTGCAACTTTTGGAAGTGGGAACAAGGCAATATTTGTTACTAAATTTCTAAGGAACATTTTAAAATCATTTTCAGGTAGTTACCTTATGTGCGCTACGAAACTGAA